GGCAACAACAATACTACAGCGAGGATAAAAGTTACGCCTTCTTTCTTTGCTTGAACATTTGGGCGGTGTTATGCAAATCTTCCCACATAGTGTGGTAGATATGTGGGGGCGTGTTCGAACGAGCCGTTTTAGGTAGGTGTGGCTGACTCTTAACTTTTATAAAGAATATCTCTTTGGATTTGAGACTTTAGTCTTTGCAACTTTACAGATCTTCTTTATGCACCAAGAGCTTGTAACACTCCAAAGAGAAAGGAAAAAATGAAATCGCATCATATGACCCCTTTAAAAGTGCTGTTCTGTCTTCAGGCTTTTCTTCAGAGGCGTGGACTACAGCAGGACCTCTGTGAGTTCTGCCACAATCACAACTACAACCTGGTGGTTGCCATGACAATCTCTTTCAATGACAACAAAGAGCCCTTCCGACAGTTAGCCGTCTACAGTTCCAGCACTGTCTACAGGGAAGAGGTACTCAGTGCTTTATACCAAAGACTATAGAATACCCAAGACGTGTCACTCGTATAGTTTTGAATGGGGAAAAATGCAACGCTCAATATGGCCGCACAATCGCAGGAAGCCCCGCCTTCTGAATGAAGGAGCCAATCGCTAATGGTAAAGTCAGCACGTCACTGCAGCTGCCGTTAGATGTCCCGGTTTCTATAGAAACAGTCAGCGCTCTGAGTCATGCGCTCAGGACTGTGCATGCGCACTGGCTGATCTGGCCTGAATAATAAGCTTTTTATAACGCTATTTGAGCAAAATAAACAACATTTATGACACAGTTGATGTCAGATTTCTTTGGTGATTTCAAATATGAAATTTAAAATAAGCTTTTTATAACGCTATTTGAGCAAAATAAACAACATTTATGACACAGTTGATATCAGATTTCTTTGGTGATTTCAAATATGAAATTTAATCGCAAGCTTAGTGAACAGTTTTGTAGAATTTGATATTTCCCCATTCAAAGAGATAGGAGTTGCACTTGCATGCCCGAGAGGCATTTCAAAGATTGCCGCCGAGTGACATGACTTGTCTTAAAGGGACTTTGTTTATACCTTTCTACGAATGAAGGTTCAAATGGCTTACCTATAAATGACTCTGCATATTTGGCCAGATTAGAAGTTAAAAAATATAGAAAATTAATTTTGAGAAACAAAGCACATTCTTCACCTTAAAGAATTCAACATGTCTTTTATCAAAAGTATTTTATGGTAAACCCTCAGCAAGAATTAAGATCAGAAAAGATCTTTCTAGCCAGTTTACAGGGTTTCCCAGTTTGTCCTTTATTATGCTTTATTTCCAGTCTTTTAATGTTGTAATGTAAAAAATGGCAACCATTGCTTGATCCAGTCAATTCCTGATCACTGAATATAGTTTTTTACTTGGAAATACACTACTGTTCAAAAGTAAGATTTTTTTTTAATTCTTTTATTCAGCAAGGATGCATTACATGGATCAAAAGTGACAGTATATGACATTTATAATACTACAAAAGATGTTTATTTCAAATAAATGATTTATTTGAACATTCTATTCATCAAAGAATCCTGAAAAAAATGTATCACAGTTTGCACAAAAATATTCAGTATCACACCACTGAAAAAGAGAAAGGAAAAAATGAAATCGCATCATATGACCCCTTTAAGATAACCTGTGAAAGAAAAAAATGCATCTTAAGCTTGCAGAATAACATAAGTGGACTTTGAACGATTACGTAATTGTGGCATCCATAATTGTAATCGCGATTAGAAATTCGATTAATTGTGCAGCCCTAGCCTGTAGCTTATTAGCAGATTCATTCATACTGTACGATCACCATAATTATAATATTCATTATATTAATAAATACAAAGGCTCAGTCCAAGGCATTTTAAAGGCCTAATTGGACGAATCTTATATAATAACAAAAAAAGATGCTTTTTTCCCCCCATAGACAAAAAAGAGCTAATTTAGTTATGACTTAAGAAAAAAATTAAACAGTTAAACAAAATCAGTTAATATTGGACTTTTGAGGTGTTGTGTACCCCCTGTGAATTAACCCTGACCAATAGTTTGGTGAGATTTGACATGGTGATAGCAGAGGATTGCTGCATGCTGCCTCAGGAGAACTAAGCACATTTTTACTAGTCGATTCCGCCAAACTATAGAACAACATCATCATAATGTTATTGATTTTGTATGAAATGCTGATTTAATCTAAATGTATTAATGTGCTATGGTTGTGAAACAGGACATTCGAGAGCACATCCTCTGTCAAGTATTTTATTGCCAAGGACTTTTTTTATTTTATGTTCTCTGTGACTGAGTATGAATAAAACATTTTCAAATAGTTCCATATGTAGTTTGTGAGCTTTTTCTGTACAAAGACACAATTTCATTGCAGTCTCATTTTTAATTTTTCTTGGACACTAATAGTTCGGGGTCAGTAATATTTTGTCATGTTTCTTATCCTCATCAAGGCTGCATTTATTTGATTAAAAAACAGGAAAATCATTAATATAGTGAAATATTATTACAATGTAATATTCAAATATGTTATAAAAATGTATATTGTCAAATTAATTGTCAACATTCATTGCTAAAGTTTTCAGTGTCTCATGATCCTTTATAAATCATTCTAATATGCTAATTTGGTGCTCAAATAACTTCTTGTTATCAATGTTGAAACCAGTTGTGCTACATAATATTTTTGTGGAAATATTTTAAGATTCTTTGAATAAAAAGATTAAAAGAACATCATTTATTTGAAATAGCTTTTATTTGAATAATGTAAATGTCTTTACTGTCACTTTTGATCAGTTTAATGAATCCTTGCTGAATAGAAGTATTAATCTTACTGATAAACTTGTGATAAACAGTAGTGTATGCACCTAATAGAATACAAACAGCTAAATACATGGAGTAGCTAATAGTCTTTTAAAGAGGCCTGTAACCTCAAGGGTATTAGGACCATGAAGCCATGCCTGTCCGTGGCATCTTCCTCCACCTTCCCAGCCTTCCCTGTGGGGGAGCAGAAGTTCTCAAAGCAGCTGAGCCAATGGGAGACAGACAATTCAGTCAGCAGAAGTCAGAAATGTTGAAAAACCTGTACTGACAGTCAGGGTGAGTTCCCTTACACAAGACACAAGATACAGACACTGAAACTGGCTTGCATTGTGGCGAAGCTCATGAAACACCTCAGGTCATGGTCATCAACTGAGTTCACTGAATGCATTTCTAATCTAGACACTTTCTTTTAACGACTTTAGACATGGGGACTTACTCAGACCAGAGGGAAGGGTACATGCAAAATGGGTAAGTCAAAATTTAGATTTTTATCTAATCTGTCCCTAAACACTGAAGTAACAATAATAAATTAATGGATTTGTATACAGTGTAATGATTAAGTTAAACTGGCCTCTGTTTATAAAGGTATCAGTTACTAATACCTGGACAAAACATATTTATAAGATCAAAACAAGTACCATAAGAGGTCATAAGCACATACTGGATGAGCCAGCGACTAACAAAGGAGTTGTTGTTAACGTTCTGTTGCACTCTGAAGTGTACAGCAGAAGGACACGAGAGAAATCCTTGTACCACTTCTGTGTAGTTATTTAGAAAGAGGATTTCAGAAAAAGGAAGTTGCCGTTGAACTGATTTCCGGTACTTTTGTCAATCTTCTTGACTAATATTCGAGACCTAACGACCACAGAAAGACATCTCTCATATCCTGTCGCCTGACAGACCAGCAGATTTTCTGACACAATAATAAGGATTTCACTGCTGTCATGAGTTAAAAATGCAAATATAAATGGAAAAACTTGACAAAAATGTAAAGTTTAGTAAGTTTCTATAATGTTTTAAAAGGGGGAAATACTTCTACTCCAATCCTTTCCATTGGCACCACTAAATATATATATATATGTCATTATAACTTTTGATGGTTTTAGACTGTAAAATGGCCATGATATTAAAACTGTTATGCAATATTAATACTACTATAATCATAGAATTGGTCTTTTGACTTGTTAATTTCCATACCAAATTCCAAGTTCATGTCCGGACAAGAAGAGAATGCATGAAAGTTATGTCATAAAAACCCTCAGTGTTTATGTGATATGACTAATAAATAATACATCCTTAATACAGTAAGTTACAGAATGAGTTACTGAAGTATTTTACCAGCCAAGACAAAGGTTTTCACAACAGGCGATTACTTTACTAAATCTTCTAAGAGTTACATCAAGAACAATTGCTGAAACAGTACACACCTCCATGCTTTGCAGTGGATGTATCATGTTGTCTGCCACAACTTTATACGTTGTTCTAAAAAATGCCCTACATATTTCTTATAATACATTTTGACATCTGATAAGGTCTCAGTCAACATTGGGCTTGAGATTACATGCAACAGTGCATGTCTTGGTTCTGTATTGACTCACAGAGAGTCAGTCAGTAACTAAAAACATACAGCCTCCTGTTTCAGAGCATTTCATGTTTGAAATAATGTAGTCTCTGAGCAATCTTGATGGATAATAGTGTATAGTGTATGTTCAAAGGTTACAGGTTTGAAGCAAAGACAATACCATCAAGATCTGAATGAATTTGATACTGGCTTCTCATCAGAAACAGGTTGAGTTACGTGGCTTATATGTTGCTGACAGCACACCGGCTCATTACCTGCCCGGAATCAGCTGAAAACTAAACTAGATTTTCTGGTCATTTGTGCCATGTGTAATTACCACATGTGCTGACGTAAAGAAATACTTGAGGTAGAAACAGGAACAAATTTTATATTTGAGTTTGCATTTGACAAGTTTGACAATATTTCAGAATATATTTGAATAGTATAGTCTAGAATGGAAATTACAAGCTACAATATTGGGGAAAAGTTTAAATATGTAGATACAGTGCATGTTTTGGATAAATCTGTTCAGCATGAATAGAGATGTTTGGGTGCATATGCTGCTGTTTCCATTTTCTCACAAAAAATTGCTCCTTGTATGGAAACATATTTCTAAATTGCACTGTCAGACACAAAATGAATGTCAAATATTTATGAAAAATATGGAGAAACCTTGCGATCACTTCAATTAATAAAAGACTACTTGATGGCTTCAAACTGATTTTCAGTTCAATAAATTGTCATCATCAGAAAATGTTACTATTGACTCAAATTTTGCACATCACACATGTAGTAAATGCAGCCATCATTTTGTTTTATGGTTTTAGGACCTAACTAACATGAAAATAATAATAATAATAATAAAAAAATAAAAAAAAATTCTTTAGTTTGTGTCACAGTTGACAATGTAGTTGTGGCTCAGAAAAAAAGGCACAATTACTCAAAATTGTAAAAGCTTTAAACAACTTTAAAACTCACCAGAGCTTGTGTGAAGCTGTTTAACTCATAGCAGCTGAAGTATAGGATGAAAACTTTCGGGATGAAGACTTTGATTTTGAAAATTGTCATAAATGTTTCTGTTTTAAAAACGAATGACAGACTAATGGTA